AGGGGGCGGGGCGGCCGGGCAGGGGACCGGTGCGCTTCTCTCAGCCTCGCCACAGCCATCCCAGCGGCGAGCAGCAACAGGTAGGAGGCTCTGGCTCTGTTTCTGGTGCGGACACCCGGTTCCAGGGCCGCCGTCGGTCTGCCCGGGAATGAATGGACGACTGCTGCTGTCTCCATCAGCTCGTCTCTCCCGTCCCTCCATCCGCTCCCCGGCCTCCTTTCTCCACCCATCTCTCCCGCAGCCCCTCCGTCTCTGTCCATCTCCCTCCGCTGTCCCTGTCTCCTCTGTGCCTCTCTCCTCTGCGTCACTCTGCACCTTCCTCTGTCCCTCCGTCGGCTCCTCTCTTTATTTTCTTCCTTCATCCCTCCATCCTGCCACCTCGCTCTCCATGGCCCCAGTTTCTACCTCCCCTGTGCCTGTGCCCGTCTCTCCTGCCCCTCTGTTGCGCCTTGCTCTGTCCCTCCGTCCTTCTTGCCCCTCTCCTGCCGGCTGGTTGGGCTCCCCCAGCCCTCTCTCCTGGCTGCTAATGAGCAGAGGAGCCTTTGAGGTAGCCAGGGCTGGGGTGGGGGGGCTCCCCGAGGGTGGCAGAGGGGCAGCTGCTGCCAAGGCCCTAATGAGGCCCCCTCTGCGCCCCTCCCGCCGCGATCTTAATTCTCAGCTCTCCCTGGAGCCACCGCTAATTGGCCTGGGGAGGGCCCCCCCTTCCTGGCTCCTGCTCCATCCCCGGGGGGTGAGGACACCTGGATCCCTAGATCTTGATCCAGCACCTGTGGCCCCATCCTTCTGGCCCCCCTCCATCGGCCTCTCCGCCTCCCATCTGTGCGTTTCTGCTTTCTCCCCGGCCCTCTGCGTTCCTCCCCCACCTGCCTCTCGGTACCCATCTGGGCAGCCTTCCACTCTCTGCTGGTCCCCACAAGGGGTCTCCATTCCCTGCTGTACTCGTCTCTGGGCCCCCCATTCCCACGTCCTTCTCCCCACGCCCCTGTGAGTGGGCCCCATGGCGCACCAACCCCACCTTAGGACACAGACGTGTCCTGGCGCAAAGTGCCCCTCACTCCGCCTGGTGTTTAACCTCTACTCTGCTTCAGCCATGTCCAACAACATGGCCAAGATCGCAGAGGCCCGAAAGACAGTGGAACAGCTGAAGCTGGAAGTGAACATCGACCGCATGAAGGTGCCAGGGCGGCGAGGAGTGGGGTGGGGGTCTGCCCAGGCCCGCTTTGGGGGCGGGGCCGTTCGAGAGTGGGAGGGGCCAGAGCAAGGGGCGGGGTATCAGCCATGTAACAACATGGCCAAGATCGCAGAGGCCCGAAAGACAGTGGAACAGCTGAAGCTGGAAGTGAACATCGACCGCATGAAGGTGCCAGGGCGGCGAGGAGTGGGGTGGGGGTCTGCCCAGGCCCGCTTTGGGGGGGCGGCCGTTCGAGAGTGGGAGGGGCCAGAGCAAGGGGCGGG